AATCTTCAGTTTCAGTCTTCGACGTTTGCTGAAGGTTCTTTGGTGTGAGTGTTGTCTTCTTGAAGTATTGCTGCCTCTGATAGATTTACAATGCAAGTTCTTCAGCGATCACTGAACATACTCAGTGAAGATCGCTGGAACTGAAAATACAGAAACACAAATACAACGTGAAAGAGAAAAAAGATTATCATCAAATCACTAAGAGAGAGGATCAACAATTCCGCACCTCCTAACTCACATTATGCATGCCTTTATACCTTATCGATGTCTTGTAGATCATAATTACACCAAAGTAGCTTGATGACAGTAAAATAAACAACACCCAACTTGTCTGATCCGTCAATTTTACACATCCATTGTTAAAATTAAAGGGAAATACTAGATCAAAAAGACGTTTGATGTTGGTTAATTTTTAGGGTTTATTGTTTAAGGCTAGGTTTCCGTAAATTAACTGATAGGTTAGTTCTTAGCTGAAAAATTGACTACTGACAAATAAGTTAGTTCTTAGTTGATAAGTTAGTGCTGATTCAAACAACATAAAAGAGTAAAAGCATCGAATTACATATCCTTAGCGATTATCATGTTATGTGTTCTTCTTGTCTCTCCAATTATAAGTGGTGGAAGAATCTTCTTAATTAGAGGCTGGAAATGGCATCAAGAGATATAAAATTTGTCATAACTGTCATACTTATAGTTAGTTACTGGTCTCGATATCACTCATAGAGATAGTCAGAGGCTCTACATGTCATTAATTCATAACTGAGGAATTTAAGTTTAACATTATCATATAAACGAAAGATTAACACACCATGAAGTAAATAGTCTAGGTCACTTCAAGTGAATATTACCACTCAGATGAAGGTTAGTTTTTTCGTATGAAAGTTATGAGTTTTGTTGTGAACGTTCAATGCTGTTATGTTTTGCTAGCTCATCGGAAGAATGACAATGTACCTAACGGATCTCTCGAGAACTTACTTGTCTTGCATAGTCCCGATCTATACGTTCCTAAACGAGAACATGATTAAAATATGAGAATACAAGAATATGTATTTCAACAGTAAGATGAGATAATTCAATGAATATCATAAAAAAGTTGGTTATAATCGTTTTTTTGTTAAAACAAAAAATCGCCACCATTTTTAGTCGAAATTCGTTCATATACAACAAAAATTGGAGCCAAAGGAATTTTTATTAAAAAATGAACATTTTATTCTTTTTAATATGATATTCGTTTTGTTGCACATTTTTATGATGTTTTAGAGTATATTATCACATTCTCATATTTTTCACATTGTCCTCATTTTTAACCCGCACCTACCTTGAGTTCGAAAAAAAACCTGTACCTACCTACCTACGTACGTACAAACATCAATGCATGCATACATACATATATACATACATACATACATACATACATACATACATGCATACATACATACACACAAAGAGATATATATATATATATATATATATAGTTAGTTTCATACGAGAACAATGATCAAATAAAAGAATACGAAAATGATTGAAGTGCAAAATCACGTGTAAAATCACATGTGATTCACATGATTTTGGTTGTTTTGCGGGCAAACGTCACTCGCACACCCTTGTATTGATCGTTAGTATAAAATCATATGTGATTTTGCTCTTGATTTGCCTGTTTTCGTTATTATTTTATTTCATTATTGTTCTTCTTTGAAACTCCCTTCATATACATATTTACATATATGGTTATGTTTTGCACACACATACACATTTAGGGGTTGGTTCATTTGTTAACTATATTTTTATTGTTAACTTTATGAACTTAATCATGGTCGTTCATTATCTGTTTAATCAAGAGTCTGTTTTTTAAAATAATGAAATTGAACATGTGTATATCATAGTATATCATAGTGAACATTACTGAACAAGGCAAAACTGAAAAAAAATCAATAGCTTTAATTATCCATCGGGAATCTCTCTTTCATTGTTTTGTAACTGAAATCAATAGTATTGTTTAATTATAAATACATGCATATTCATATATTCACTTGTGAACATTGACCATGGTATTGTTTAAGACGCATATGCTTGTTGTTAAGGATTGAAACAACAAACAAGACATTGTTTGATTATAAACACGCATTTTTCACGTGTTCACTTGTGAATATTGGTTATGTTCACTTGTGAATATTGGTTATGTTCACTAGTGAACATATGTTTTTGTGGTAACACAAGTTGGTAGATTATGAACAATGTGTGATAAAGATTTTCTATGTGATTTTTGGTTCATACTTATCACATGGATGGGTCTTATTATACTTGGGAGTAATTAAAACGAGATCTAGAACCTTGAACATATTCACGTATCATTTATTAATGCAATTCAGATTAATATGGTGAACAAGTTAAGTGCGTTTTGAGAACATTCACATATGAATTCGCAATATATTCACTTTGATTAACCATTGTCCACATTAAAGTTAACATAATCATTCTAGAATCTTGAAATATGATGATATGATTATGATCCCAAAAAACATGCAAGTAGTAATTTGTAGCATCTCATTAAATACCATATAAGTACTTACACAAAAGAAATTAGCTATCAAACATTTGAAGTAATCTTTAGTAAAGAATAAATCTTACAGGTCCAATATATTCATAAAGTTAACATCATATTTTTTGTTAGCAAAAGATCCTTGTATGTATATATATATATATATATATATATATAGAGAGAGAGAGAGAGAGAGATAGAGAGAGAGAGGGAGATAAAAAGAGAGAAAAGTTCAAATGAAACCGATTTTCGTTGTGAACCGGGGAACAAAAGATAGTGCACCGGGTTTCCCCGACATCCACATTCAGTATGAATAACGAAGATGAAGTTCATGAACTATTTATGATGAATAATACACGATCATAATCCATGTTAAATTATTCACTATTCATGATGAATAACCTTTAAAGATGTGAGACAAGTGTGTGCTCTCCTTTGTCCCCAAGTTCACAATCGAAAATCGATTTTAATTTGAACCATCTCCTATATATATAGGCTCTTCTTTTGTTAAATAAAGAAATAGTACAAACTTTTTTAATCGGGACATTTTCTATCTAGTGAACCTAAACAAAAATGCAGAAGCCTGTTTTCAGGAAACCTGACAAAAAATAACCATTTAAAAATTTAAAATTACAATTGCAACCCTAAAATTTCAAACTACATAAAACTAGCCACTACATAGGCACATACCCCCTACGCACCAAGCCGATGCGTATTGAGACCAAAATGCAAAAAAAAAAAAAAAAAAAAACTTTTATGACATTGATGTGACAAGGGCTACCATGGGTTGGACCACATTTCAATACTCTTATGCACCGGTCCGTGCATGATGTATAAGGGGCCCACCGCCACCCGATTTTTTATTTTATTTTTCATTTTTGTTCCTTCCCGATACAACACTATTTATTTTGGTTCTTCCCAATATAATACTATTCAATTTTGTCTTTTTCCTCCTCAACCCCATTATATATACAATTCAAATTTCATATTAACAACACAAAATCAACACTTCAATCTCCATTACCTTAATACAATCTTCATTACCTTAATACAATCTCCATAATCATGTATCTAACAGGTTTTAAAAAATCGAAAGAGTTATTTAACATGTTTTGGAATGTCCAAGGACATATTTGTTTCAAAACGTTATCCAAAGACTTAATCATTTCAAACACTAAAGTCTATTGGGTTTTTTTAGACTCCCCCCCCCCCCACACACACATATATATATATATATATGTGTGTGTGTGTGTGTATGTGTGTGTGTGTATGTATGAATGATTAGGTTCACGTGATATCAACCTGTTTTTGTGAGACCCGTGGGATAATTTTTTTACACTTGAAACTTCACAGCAAAACGCTGTGAAAGTAAAAAAATGACGAACCTTCACAGGAAAAGCACTATAAAGATTACCTTCACAACGTTTTGCTATAAAGTTTCAAGTGTGAAAAAATAGTCTCACAAAACGCGAAAATAGGCTGATATATATATATATATATATATATCCAAGATTTCCATCCGTTTATACCCTGGAAGTACAGAAAAATCAACTAAATAATCAAACAAATTAAAGTAAATTGCTTTCACAGTTAAATGTATGAACAATTTGCGAAATGATCTCAAGGTGTTAATATGGCCTGCTAATGGATTCATCCACCGTGGTAGCGTCACTACTACTTGTTCTTGATCGTTTTAAACCACCATCTTCTTCTGAGGGAAACGACGGCGCAGACACAACAACCTCCGTGGTCCTCCGCCGTGGAGCCACCCTCACCGGCTCCGCCATGTTGGTGCCGATAAGATGCGGGAAATTTAACATAGCTCGAGACCCACGCATCTTATACGCTGCTTGATCATAAGCCAAAGCTGCATCCTCCGGCGACCCGTACGTCCCCAGCCACACCCGAGCGCCACGCTTCGCCGGATCTCTTATCTCAGCGGCAAACTTTCCCCATGGCCGCCGCCTGACGCCCCGAAACTTCCTCCACCCCGACGGCGCGTGAGTCCCATCCACCACCACCAACTCCTTTTTCACCTTCTCAGTGGTACCCTCAGAAATTTTAGAATCTTGAAGAAGGTGGTCATGAATTGAATCGAGAAAAGAGAGATCAGAATCTGACATAACTGGTTCCAGATGTAATTTTCTGTGGGATTTTTGAAAATTGATGTGATCAGATATATGGGGTTTGAGATAACTGATTTTGATGGTGAAAGGAAATATTATAAGGATGTATAGAGATATAGGCTTCTGTATGTATATATGATGGAAGAGTATTTGATAAACTCGAATATCCATATTTTAATATGAAATTAATGGTTTTATAAATTCACCACGTGTTTTTGTTTTTTAATTGCTTAATACGTAACCTGCTTTTCGAGTGTTCATGAAGTTTCAATTACCATTGCATGGGTTTTATTATCTTCATCTATTTAGGGGTGTTTGGGATTGCTTATAAAAATAATTTATTGACTCGTTGTGATACCAGTAATAAACATTTTTGAGTGTTTGGATAAACAACTTATACCGGTAGCAAACCGGTTAAAAGCTTTCTGACTTATAATAAGTTGATAAGTGCTTTTATAGAAAATCATAAGTTGTTTCAAATAAGCAATCCCAAACATCCCTTTAGCTTTTATATTCCCTAAAATTCATTAATTATATTAATGACTTTTATTTCATGTTTTAGGTCACACAAACTAATTTAGTCACCACAAACTCCTATCATTACTGCAGTTTCAAAAAATATAAGGGCAATCCAGGAAACGATACGTTAACATCTATTAGATATGTAAAAGGCATCGAGAACACAACGTATAAGAGCCTTAACCCCACCCTTCTCTTCTCGATAACCCCCTTCTTGTTGAACCCCGTCCTGGTGCCCTAGCGCCCTTCTCGGTGACCGCCTTTGTCAATGCACCTCCGTCCCAATGCATCAAACCTCTCTTCCTTTCTCCTAAGAAACCCCTTCCCTCCTCAAAGCAAAAGCCGGAAATCGTCCCTCTATATGCATTTTTCAGGTTTCTATTATAGTTGATTAATATTTATATATAATTAATAACTTATTCCTTTTTTATTAAAAAAATAATTAGAAGTGACTTTGGATTGGATTCAATCTACTGAGTACCAACCGTCACCTAAATATACATAATATGTGATGTGTTATATAGTACGTCTTGAATTTCGATCTTAAAATATTAGGTGGATAAATATTTTGCTATTTTTTCATACATCATGCACATTGATATCTTTTACGTCTTATTTTATGATCAAAATAACTTATGTAACTTAAATGATTTTATATAAGTGTTGTTTTTCAAAATGTAAAAAGAGCCCGTCAAACCGTGGGCAATCCCGACCCGTTTCTAAGGTGGCTATAGACATGTCCATAAGCCCGCAAAAGTGTGATTAGGTTTGCATTATTAGGCCCGTTGGACAAAAAAAAATATGTTAGGCTCGGTCTAACCCAACCCAAATTTGCAAATGATCACCTCAGATTGATCTCGGCCGGTTTCCCTTTACCTGCAACCGGTCACAAAGACATCCAAAACCCAAATGGATCTCGATCTTGGTGGTAGAAGTTGGGGGTGGTGGTTTTTGAGTTCATCCATTGTCGAAATTTTTGAGGTCATGAAGTGTGAGTGAACTGTCGGCTGTCGGTGATGATGACCGAAGGGGGAGGGGCGTCGTCGGTTAGCTCATACCAGAGAGGGTATAGAGATAAATATATCCCTCAATTGAATGACACATGACTGACTTAATGAATCCTAGACTAAAGATGTAAACTTGAGGGACGATTTTAGGTTCTAAAACACAAGATAAGGACCATTAAATGTAATCAATGAATTTTAGAGATCAAAACCAAAAAAAAAAAAAAACAAACAAATCACATCATCATAGTGTAATCCACTCTTATTATTATTTTATTTAGCTTAACAAAAAAGCATAATAAATGACTGATAACTTTCTAGAATATATAAATTATAATTTGTTTTCCTTTATTGCAGTGAAACTTAGTGTTTGTGTAAGAAATCATCTGATCTAACTTAATCTGGTGGATTTAATTAGAACTGACCGACTATAATCAGATATCCAATTGTAACTAGATTGTATCGGATCCAAAATTTCAACATCCAAAGTCGATCAATCAGTTCTTGGACAGTTAAGATTTCAATAAAACCGAACTGGTCTAATCCAATGACCTAACAATTATAATCCAACTCCCACCCAATTATCCATTTAATTATTATCCAACTATCATTAAATTACAAATTATATATAATTATTAACATTTTACGATGTTTTTTAGTTGATATTTATACGTAGTGGTTTTTAATAAATTAAGAAGATATCTGAATAATTGGTTGAAACAGTTGATTAATTGGTTGAAAGTTTGATCAAAGTATTATATGGATCCAATGGAAGAAATTGATTCGATTCAATTATCAATTGAATTGGATTAAATCTTATGTCCAATGCTTATTGGATTGGATCAGATAAGAAAATCCAACATCCAATGGGTGATTGGATCGGATCTGATCCACTTAAATCCATTACCGATGAACACCTATAGTGAAACTTATGTTCTTGTCCGGAAAATTTGTTTATTACGAATTTTGTTTTATGGTATACGTTTTGTTTTGATCTTGATCCCTCATTTCAATGGTTGTCTATCCCTTCTATCAAGTGTTATCTCATGCATTACACATGCGGGCAAATTAGTCTTTTTACCTTTCTCACTTCAAAACCCTAACCCTAAACCCAACTCCTCTATCTCGTATCTCATCGGTTGGCCCCATAGGGTTGTAATGGTGATGGTAAGGTGATTGAGATAAACCGATGGGTGAATGAATTGGATGCAATGGCAATGGTGGTGACACAGACTAGTTGTTCATCCGTTCTCACTTAACCTGGTTAGCCATGGACTCGACTAAAGAAATTGAAGGGCTTAACCTGGTTAACCATGGACTTAACTAAGGAAATTGAAGGGCTGAACCTGGTTAACCATGGACTTAACTAAGGAAATTGAAGGGGGTTGCAGCAGGTGGTGGGGATGCTAGTGTGATCATCTCTTTTCTATCTATGTCACAACATGGTTAACCTCCACTACCACCACCTCTTGGTGGTGCTTTTGATTTATTGTGTTTTAAGGGTTTTTCTTGTGTTTATATAGATTTATAGTTGTTATTAGTTTAGGGTTTGAAGACTTCAGTAGTTTAGGATTTTTGATCTACTTTAGAGGTTTTAAAACATTCTCATTTTATTAAATGATTTGGCGATAATGAAACAATTAATCTCATTCTTGAACATCTTTATTTTGTACATAGGTTTCTTCTACTTTGATATGTTTTTTTAATTAATTTGGATATCTAACCCGCTATGTGAGCTGACTAATCCTAGGGAGACCACTTGCTTTGCAGATAGCTCAGAGTCACCGCATTTGAACCTTCGTGGCCACAAAGGGATTTTAATTCCTCCTTGGATTTGAACCTGGGACAACCTGGTACTTTTGACCTTTGGAGCCGAGCTAAACCAATCAGGCACCACCCTTGTGGTTTACTTTGATATGTCTTTGCATCTAGTTGGTGGTGGTGGTTCTAAGGATGATAGGTGGTGGGTGGTGTATATGGTGGTGGTCGTCATCATTATATGCATATAAACACATCATAACAATTTTATGAATAAAATACTTTATTATAATCATAGGCGGAACATGATAGGGCCTATGGACCCTGTTCTTTATGCACTAAATAGAATATATTAACCTAACTTTCATCACACAACTTCTTATAGTTGAGGTCTTGAGTTCAAGTCTTTTGTTGCATATTTGTTTGCCTTTTTTTAAATATAAAAAAACTAGAAATTGTTGTCAAAAAGATTTAAACCCATGACCTCAAGGAAGACAAGTAGTGCCCCAACCATTCCAACAACCTTACTCTCCTTTTTTACGTTATGTTTTAGAAAACATATATGAGCACACGTTAAAATTAAGCGGGTGCATAGTTACAAACGGTAAAAAGATTCCATCAAGATGGGCTGATTGAGAGGGTGCCCGTGCACCCCGTACTCTATGAGTAGGTCCGCCCCTGATTACACATGCGGGCAAATTAGTCTTTTTAGCTTTCTCAGTTCAAAACCCTAACCCTAACCCTTAACCTAAACCCAACTCCTCTATCTCTTATCTCATCGGTTGGCCCCATAGGGTTGTAATGGTGATGGTAAGGTGAGGGAGGTAAACCGATGGGTGAACGAATTAGATGCAAAGGCGATGGTGGTGACAAAGACTAGTTGTTCATCCGTTCTCCCTTAACCTGGTTCACCATGGACTCGACTAAAGAAATTGAAGGGCTGAACCTGGTTAACCATGGACTTAACTAAAGAAATTGAAGGGGGTTGCAAATGGTGGTGGGGATGCTAGTGTGATCATCTCTTCTCTATCTCTGTCACAACATGGTTAACCTCCATTACCACCACCTCTTGGTGGTGCTTTTGATTTATTGTGTTTTAAGGGTTTTTGTTGTTTTTATATAGATTTATAGTTGTTAATAGTTTAGGGTTTGAAGATTTCAGTAGCTTAGGATTTTTGATCTACTTTAGGGGTTTTAAAACATTCTCATTTTATTAAATAATTTGGCAATAATGAAATAATTAATCTCGTTTTTAAACATCTTTATTTTGTACATAGGTTTCTTCTACTTTGATATGTTCGTGGTTCTGGCGGATGATAGGCGGTGAATGGTGTATATGGTGGTGGTCGTCATCATTGTATGCATATAAAAACATCATAACAATTTCATGAATAAAATACTTTATTATAATCATAGACGGAACACGATAGGGCCTATGGACCCTGTGCTTTATGCACTAAATAGAATATATTAAAGTAACTTTCATCACACAACTTCTTAGCTTTAGTTGGTTATCACTCTTTGGCTTTTTTTATGAAGGTTTTTGGTTCAAGCCTTGCAGTGATTTCATTTGTATTTTTAGTTAAAAACCTATTTTCTTTCTTTATATATGTATTAAGTATTTTTAATCCAAAAACCTATTTCTTCCAATGCATATACATACATATTTTCCTTTTAAAACTGTACATAAATCTTATTTTCTGAATTGGTTAACGTAAAGGTTTTAGATTTTAATTATATTAAATAATTTTTTTCTTTTTTTTATATTTAA